TCAGCAGGAGTTCAGCCAGCAGGACTATCAGCGTGATAAATGCTTTCATCTTAAAGGTTGTATTGCTACAATAACCCCGAAACTTAAAGCTGCTTCTTGAAACGTATAGCCTGGCTAAAGAGATGAAGAGTGCCCTCTGACATTTCTAGGTTGCTAAAGAGCTCTCTCAGGTTCCAGTGCCAGAATTAAGATGCCCACATGCAGCTGTTCTGATCTGAACTGGAAATTACTGTGGGACCTTGTAATGTTACATGAATTGGGGCAGTGCTGCTTGAAAGAATTAGCTTTAGATTGAGATGAGACTGAACTCCAGGTGACGAGTCCCAACATTTTATTCCCACCCAATTATAAAGTGTTTCTACAGGATTTTAGGAGGCAGAACTCTTATATTGCCATTTTCAGAAACAATAGTTTCACCTCCTCTCTCTGGGTATTTTGCAGTTATAAAACTCCTAGGAGAGTGGTAAAAAACTAATCTATAGAGTAGGTAGAAAGTGGTCTGAGAAGCTAGCAATGACAACCAGTAGGATTTTGGCTTGGTAGAAGCTTGTTTTGTAGAGATCTGAACGAGAATGGTTACATTCTGAAAGCAGAGTGAAAGTGGTTGTGCACTGATTACGCGTGTAGAAACAGTTGAAATAATGAACAGTGTGAAAGGAAATGGGATGGTACAAGTGGGAGAAGAGTAGAATAAAGGGCCAAAAGGGAAGGGAGTTGTGAGATGAGCAAAGCTCGAGTTCTTGCTTTTGTATCTAAGAATAGTAATCTGAAGCTTGTAGCAAACTTTTGCCACTGTTAACTAGCAGATGTTTAACATAAAAATACTTGTAAAATGTAGTGATTATAGTTAAGGAGGCCAGATACTGTTTTTTTCATTGCTTCTGTTAATGTGAAGTAACTCCATTGATTTTAAGATTTTAATGACTTCACTGCAGTTCCTCCGTTAAACTGCTATTCTAGTTTACAACCTTCTGTGTTTCTGATCATCACCTTGATCATAGAAAAATATCGAGTACTTCTTATCTTTGAAGCTATGCCTCCTTCCTGAAACTTTCACAAGTGCAACCATGAGAATGGCTTCTTAGGTGAGCACTATTGTATAAGTGTGATACAATACACAGTTTGAATGCTGCGAGTCTGGCATGACATCTCAGAAGGAAGATTAGAAAGGAAGACCTCTGACAACAAGGGCGATTGGAGGCTTTGAACAACAACTGTACAGAGAGATCCTAAGTAGGCTATGTTCCTTCAGCTTGGAAAAGAGATGACTAAGGGATTAGATAATAGAGGCCTATAAAATTGTGACCAATGTTGAGAATGTAAGTAGGGAACAATTATTCTATATTTCTTTTAGTGTTAAGAGGTAAAGGTTTCAAATTATCAATTATCAAAGAAGGAGTGGTTTTTGCCTGAAGGTACATGACTGTGCATGGGAGGTGCCTGCTCAGTGCATCCTGATCCCTTACTCTTCCCCAAACACTTGACCACTGTGAGAGATAAGATACAAGGCTAGATGAATTTTTGATCTGAGCATATAACTGTTAGAATCTTAAATTTACAAGCACCAGAAATACTTGGTAGACTGAAGGACAAGTATGATATTTGCCCTTCCTTTCCTTTTAGCTTCATTTTTAATGCTGGCTAGTTTTCCAGTTGATGAGTGCCTTTGAACTTGCTTGAAAACATATTTACCTTGTATGGAATTGTGTGGTAGCAGCAGCCTTGGCTAATGCATTTATCGTTTTGTGGATTAATCCTTGTTTCCTGATGTTTTTCTAAAATTCATCAAATATGCAAGATCTTAACTTGCTTAAAGCCTCAAGACGAAAAATAATTATGAAAGAGAAATTTTAGGTTCCAGTCAGCACACATTGGCTATGGAGTAGTTTAGGGGCAAGAAAAAAAACCTTGTGTTATCCATTTTGTATTTGAAATGGTGGGTAGAAACTCCTCTTCATCTCTTCCTGAATGTGTAACATATTGCCGTCCTCTTGGGCTATAAATGATCTACTTCCAGTTGATTGATCATATTGTGTTTTGCCTCTGTTTTTGGAAGACATTCTCCCACCTTCTCTCAGCTCATCAACTGTCCTCCTCTATTCAGCTTTCTATTTCTCAGAAGCTGTTTGAAATCTCTGCTAAGATCTCTTTTCTGTCGGCCGTGCCTTTTGATATTATGACTGATGCATACAATAGTTTCTGCCACAAATTTTAGAGGTTTCTGTATAATCCGAGAATACTGCAGAGTCTGTGGTAGCCATTCTGCCAGCTCACTTTGGTGATAGTAATGGCCAAGTTCAAGTAAAGTGCAATGGCTCATATTAGAGTGAACAAAATGCACCCCACTGTGAGGCATTACTTGCTCACAGATTTTAGGAACTCACCTCTAGACCCTGCTGTTTTGCCTTCGTTCTTTATATACATCTTTGGTTGTGGTGTCCTATGGTGGTACCATTTCACATCCCTGCCTGCTTTGCTTTCAATTAATTTCCAGCTTAGCTAGTTAATTACAAGATAGCTTTGAAACAGGGTCCAGTGGCTGATGTTTGATGGGACTGAGGGCTGTTCTGTTACTTTCAGGTACTGTTTGGCACTGCTGACGGACAGGTTATTGTCATGGACTGCCATGGCCGAATGCTGGCCCATGTGCTCCTTCACGAGTCAGATGGCATCCTCAGCATGTCCTGGAACTACCCCAGCTTCCTGGTGGAGGACAGCAGCGAGAGCGACACGGACTCCGATGACTATTCCCCACCGCAAGGTAGTGTTGTGTGCACATCCTTCTGTTTCAGCTTTGCAAGTGCTCACAAAGACATCTCGAATGCCAGGGAGTTGTCATGCTGTACTCAGCAGGATGGCCACAGGTTCAAGCTGATGGAGGCCAAAAGATGGTGTGTTCCTGTGGAGGTAGCATGGGGGATGGAGCAGAGGGCTGGTACAGGAGAGTTCCTTGCTCTCCCACCAGCCTCGCTGGCTGCGTTGCTTGCTGCAAGTCATACCTCATCTGTTTTCCACAAATGAGATAATGCCACAAAGCTCAAAGTTTTCAGTGAGGGTGAGTGAAAAATGCTTGATGGGGGCATATCAGGTTTCACTGATGAGCAGATGTGAGGTATTGCAATGGTTCCCATGTGTGGAGGTGGTCAGAGTGCAGTCACAGAAGTTAATGTGTTATTACATAGATTCACATGAAAATACACCAGTAGTAGACACTAGGAGAAAGTACTACATTTTTAATTTTAAAGAAATCCTATGAAACAGAAATCATGCTCATCATTATAGTCCCATCCTTGATAGTCCTGACATAAAGAGCTCAATAAATTCCATAGAAGGATTGGAAATGAAAATATTTCTTGCAGTTACACAGAATAGAACAAGGGTGACTGCAGCTGTTGGAATTACTAATTCCCATGCTTCAGAGCACATTGCAAGTTTGAGGGTCAGGAAGAAATCCTTCCCTCCCCTTAAGTATAAATATAACTCATTGGATGAAGTGTTTTGGTTTTAAACTCTTTGGAAATGATCAATAACCAGGACCTAGAAGGCCTCGGTATCCATGCGCAGTCAGCCCCATCCTTCTTATTCAAGTCATGCTAATACTTCTTGTTAATGCTGCTGTTGACTAGTCTATAAGATCTAGGTAAGCTGTTTCTGTGTTCCTGTGTATAAAGTCTGAACTAAATGAAGAAGTAAATTAATATAACAGTGACTCTACAATGAAAAATTTAAATTAGCTGGAAAAAATAGCTAGAAATAATTCTGAATTTGCATCTCAAACCTGAACCCCTGAATTGAGAATTCTTGCAGTTTTAACTCTAATTTGGATTCAGACCAAAAATCTACCTTTTCCAGAATCATGTGTATATATGTCAATATAATAAGCATGTGTGTTTAACAAATAGTGATAGAAGATAATGTGATTATCTGGTAAATGTTAGCATCTTTTAAAACTGAGTTTTCTTTTGGCTTTCATGCCTCACTTTTGGTACTGGGTGGTGAGATTTCTTACCTTAGAAGAACAGAAACAAACTTCAAATTTCCTAGCAAGCTTCTAAAGCAAGAAAAGGAACAAAATTATATTGGTTTTTCATTGTTTTTTTAAAATACTGTGGTTCCAGTTGGAAGATGGTGAAGATGCAGAGCACACAGATGAGAACTTAAGTGATCCAAATGCACTAGGTTTTTCTGAGTCAATCGGGGTGGGCGGACTCGTTACAAGCCTACAAGCCTATTTTAATGATTACCCAAACATGATGTGTTTTCTTTAGAGCAAATGCAGCATAAACCTCTCAAAGGTGACAAGCCTTTGACTCACACAGATGTGTAGGAAGGACTGGAAGTTTGATGGGTTTTTCTTACCAAATCATATACGCACAGAGATGCTAATTACTAGATGTCTTTCTCCAAAGTGCTTATTGATCAGCTTTTTTACAAATTCAGGAAGCAATACCACTCTTAACTGGCTCTGCCATTTTTGTTGACTGCAAAGATGCTGGCTGGGCCTTGAGAGGCACTTTTATCAGGGGCCAGTGGCATCTCCTGCCAGAACTGGTAATTAAAAAAGCGTTAAACAGTGAGTGCTACAGATAGTGATATTGGTCATTAAGTATTTGAACAAGGGAATTTCAGTGAATGCTGAAAAAACAAGCCCAGAGGAGCAGAGACTTTGCAGAAATGGATTTTAAAGCCAAGTGTTCCATTTGGGCTCATCTATACCTTTAAGTGCATTGGGATCCTGTTAGGCAGGATGGCAGGTAACTTTTCATGCTGCTGCCTAGCTCTTAACATTTAGAATGCAGTAATTTGTGAAAGGTCAGTATGTTCTCTTAGAAGGTCTCATAATCTAAGTGACTTCAGGAGGAGTTTCCAGCACTTCCCCAAGCAAAAAGTGTATCTAACAAATAGCTTTTCATGTGATTATATTGTTTATTACACTGGTTTTGAACTTGGGTCCCAAGGAAGCCTTCCAAAGCACTAGTTTTTGATTTGTGGACACTTTGGGGAGTTGACAATAGAGACAGATTGAAAACCACCACTGTATAACATAACAGTATATCCATAAATCACTTTGGATATGCCACAGTAAAAATTCAAAAAGTAAAAACATTGGGGGTTTCACAAAAGCAGTCAAACTAACTAGCTAAACCTGCTTTGCTTTTGCCCATAGACGCTGCAGACATAAGCAGATAGAGTTGAAGGCTTGGAACCACTCCTGATGGCGGTGGGCTGAAGTACAGTGTATTTCAGCCTGGATGTAATTACTTCTGGTTGTTTGCCTTTTGCTCACTCCAGAACCTTGTTTTTGCAGATGGACCAGCTGCGTATCCAGTCCCAGTGCAGAACACCAAGCCACTACTTACTGTCAGCTTCACATCAGGAGACATCAGTTTAATGAACAATTATGATGACTTGTCTCCTACTATCATCCGCTCAGGGTTGAAAGGTACAGAAGGAAGCCATTTCACCCCCTTCCTATGCTCTGCTTTTCTTGTATTTCTGGTGATCTGTGTATAGGTTACGTTTTTGCGGTTGTCTCCCCTAACCCAGAAGCACTCGGTCACCGTTATTGCCATTTCCAGCAGTGCCACCTGCTGGGGAAGAGCAGCTGATATCTTGGCTGATAGAGCTTTTGGGTTTGAAAAATCTTTCGATTTTTGAGATTGTGTTTTATGGCAGCGTTGTAGAGCAAATTGATCTATTCACAGTTCTTCAGCTGAATGTGCTAATCTGTTTATGCTTCTTTGTGTGAATGCCCCTGCTACGTAACACTTCCTTTGCACCTTTAATACACAAGGTGTCCTCCCATGCTTTTGGTAACCAGGTACAAATAGCACTGCTGCTTTGAGTCCCACAAATTTTGGAAACTTCCTAGAATTAGTATTTATCAAGAGGCAAGTTGTTCTGAGAAAACGAAAATTCCACTGCTTAGTTACTGTACGTCTTGCTAAGTGATGTGCATGAATGTTTGCAAGATCAGTATACCATATAAAATCTTTAATTCACATTGAAATGTTTACTGTTCTTACCTTGCAAAAAATCCCTTACTTTGCCAGCACTCTCAGTACAATTTACGGTGCTTTGCCTGGAGAGAAGTTTTATTTCACTACGGCACATAAGCACATATTTAAATGTCAGTTCCATTGATTCTTTTTCATCTCCATAGGTAAATTAGTTTTATATTAGATGAAAAAAACCAAAAAACTGTTAGAGCAGAATCTTAGCTGTTGTGTAACAGCGGGATATTTTTGGTGAAAAGTTGCCCTAACACTAGCCCAATAGTTTTTGGGTGATTCACTGTGTAAGGTAGTCTTAAGAGGTTAAAATATCATCTTTGAGGTTTCTTTTCCACTCCTGCTTCCATCTATGCCAACACAAGAAGCGCGTGGCTGGCAAAATGTGGCATCCTGGGGCAATCCTATGATCCAGAAAACTTCTTTAGCCGAAAGGACGCCTAAAGTCTGGGAAACTGGAACCGGTTTAGAGAAGCTCTTGTGATATCCACCAAGGGTCATGCCCAGCATCTCTACAGAATTATAGTAAATAGGATAGGAAGTAGTCTAGAGTTGTCACCTAGTCTAGCTTTCAGCTGGAAACGGTAGGAGACACAAACTCCATCTTACTCTCTGTTTAGAGTTGCAGGGCTCCATCTTGCCGAGGATGGCTGTCCTATTTCTCTTTCCCCATTGACTTTCACTAATGGAAAAAAGATCCCTTAATTATGTCCCCCTCCTCTAGCAAAATATTAATGTGCAAACTACAGTAGAAATATTGTTTATGAATTGTAAACTGGATTACATCATTGACCTCAGTAGAAGAATGTGCAACATTTTGCTGGATCGGGAGTGTGTATGAGACACAGAGAGAAAAGTGATTGGGATATCACTGTCTCTTGTTTAGAAGCTACATGTTGTACAGTGCAAAGTATTTTGCATATAGCTGCCATATAGATGTAAACATTTTCTTATCAAATTTTTTTTCTAGTGACTGTAATTTTATTGGTTGTTACCACATGCAAGAATATGCAAAACCACCCAGCTCACGGTCCCCATTCTCTTCAGCCACTTGGTATTCTGCTGAGAGTGGACGGTCTTCAGTATTGTGTGCAAGTCTAAATTGAAGTGTTTCTGTTTGAAATCTCTAAGTGTTGCTTTGGGGTCTCTGCAGCAGATGCCCTTGTCTATACAGACTGCTGTAGGCTACTCTAATGTATTTTTAAAGCAGGCAACTATAAAACTATTACAAGCATTACCAATATTTTTTGCTGTTCTGCTAGCTTTGCAGAGCTGTCATTTTACTGGGAGTATTCATATTAAATTGATGCAGAAAAACATTTGCTGTTGGATGGGAATTTGATTACCCAAATACAAGTTGTTCTTTTCATCTAGCTTGAACGTTCCTGGAAGTTTTATCTGTTCTAGTGGAGGTCTTGAATTGTGCAGTTGTATCCTCTCTTTTTTTACACTTTTTAACTTTGTGTTTCTCAGTACACTGCTACCTGCAGAACTGCTGAACTGCATCTACTAGTTGTGCTCGTTAGCTACAACTACTGCCCACAGAGCTATTAGGCATTTTGAGTGCTATCTATTCAAGTTTTGCTGATATACATGCCTGTAGTGGCTGGCAAGTAGTTTTGAGGAATGGATGAAACCTCCATCTGATTTCTAATCTCTGTGCTTTCACTGAGACCTAGTTATCAGTTGAGCTATTGTATGTCAAGGTTCAATAGTCGTTCAAAGCCCTGTCAGCAGTGCAACATGCTGTAAGCTGCACCATCCCAGGGAGATGCTGCAGCTCACATCCAGCCCTTCGCCGCATTTGCCGCAGCCTAATTCTAGGAGTTTTGAGAGAGAGAAAACTGCTGGATGCAGTAATCACTACTCTTCCTCTTGGTAAGGGGATGTACTGAAAGTCTTACCTGAAGACATGCATCCAAAAGAGATTTTTTTTCTCACTCTGGTAATTGTGTAGTTAAGCCAGTTACCAAAAATGGAGTTGATCAGCATGCCTCGTTGGTTTCTAACCTGCCTATAATTATACTTTCTGAGAAAGATGAATTAAATCCCACTGTAGATGACTTAAAGAGCTGAGGACTGAGAGAAAAAAAGAGGCATACAATGCCTAGCTGTGGAAAAATTACCTTGAGGAACACGTGTCTTGCCTCTGATATGTACAGAAGCATAATTCCCATGAGAAATATCAGAAAGATGAAATACTACAAAACCATTTTAAATTGCACATAGAAGTCCCTGAAAATGACAAGTTGACAACTTGAAACAATTTTGAGATCTTTCCTGCCAACTCTCATTTCTCTCCTGCTTCTTCATTTGAAGACAGCTTCTCACCCACAAATGTCTTCAAAAGGTTCTTGGCAGATTGAGCATCCCAGAGCACAAAAGTTTTGTCTTGACCTTCACTTTGTCTCAGCACAAAATAGGTGCCTTTCACCTCCAGTTTAAGAGTAAAAAGGTTTAAAGACTAGCTCAGTATTCCTTGCACATGCAAATCTGCCTCTGAAACACAAGCAGAAACGCAAAATACTGGTTTAGTGCTCTTGTTGCAGTATGACAAACAGCCAGGAGTATATAAGGGTTTGAAATTAGCCTCCTAAAATTAAGCGGTGGGTGTTCCTCATCATGAGGTGCCTGTAGGAGAAGTAACTGATTTGTATATTCATATCCACATATATGAGAGACTAAGCAAACTCCTGCTAGACAGATGTTGTGCTTCTGGCAAACTCCTGCTAGACAGATGAGTAAATTTTCACAAGTAAAGTGTCAAAAGAAAAGCTATGACATGGCCATATATATTTATGGACAAAAATCCGAAAGTGTCTCTAGTTTGATGCTATGCTAAACTGTAACTCCTGTTTGAGTTACGCTGAAAGTTATATTCAGAGCCGGTGAGAACATGAGGCATTGCTAAATATGCTGCCTTTTTGCACTGTGGGGCCTTTCCAGACAAATACTCTTTGCTGCTCTCTTAATGAGATTATTTATCTGTGTATTAACTTGATTCCACTTACCCCATAGATATGCATAGAATCTTCCACATCAGTTTTAGCATCTCTAATAAATTTTTGTCCTTAGGTACTTAGGAGCAACCACTGATTACATTCTAGACTCACCACAGAGAGAGAAAAATGAATGGGTTTTACACATTTTTTGCAATTTACAAAATAGAGTTATTCTCGGAAGTGCATATGCGGCATATTTGCTACTATTTCAATGAATGGATTTGGGTTTCTAGGTACGTAGGTAATTTCTGAGAGCGTGATTTACTTAGCTGTTTACGTCACTTTGCACCATCTGGAAACACTGTTCCTATTGGTTCTAGTCAGTGATTATTGCAAACTGTCTTTGTGATTTCAGATGTGGTAGTACAGTGGTGTACCCAAGGAGACCTACTTGCAGTAGCAGGCATGGAGAAGCAAAGCCAGCTAGTTGACCTCAGCAATGGTTCCCTATTGAAGAGCGCGCTCGTCAAGTTCTACAATGTGCGCGGGGAACATATCTACACTCTGGAGACCCCTGTGCAGGTAGGAGGTATTTTTTAAGTCAGTTCTTAATGCTTTGCTGACAAGTTTTTCCCACATTAGCTCACTGGTATAGACCTGCAGTGTGAAAAGGGTTGCAAAACGTCCTGAACACATTCTAAAATACGATATAGATAAAAATGCACTATAAATAATTATTGTTTGCAGTAAGGTAGACATCCAAGAGTGCATCTGATTGTAAGGCCCACTGTGCTAGGTGTTGTGCAAATATATGGTGAGAAACAGTCTGTTTCCCAAAACTATTGGGCCATGAATGGACAAGACAGAAAAATGAGATTCTGTTCGTTTATGGATAAGTGACTGAGGAGAAAAAACTAGGGAACTTGCTTGGTGTTGTAGCAAAGCCAAGAACTGGATAAAAATATTCCAAGTCCAGTATCATAACCACAAGATTATTCTCTGTTTGTTATTGCTGTAATTTGCTAATGTACAATCAGTGGATCTGATGCAATATTTTACTCTTATGGCATCAGATGGAGAAGGATGAATCAGAAAGTCTTGTTTCTATTCCCACTTTCTGTACAGACTTTCACTGTAACCTTGGTCATGTTACTTGACAAATAAATGTCAACACATGGTCTGTGCGCTGCTTAGGAGCACAGCGTGTTTCCTTGGTCTTCGATGGTATTTCAGAACCTAGCTGAATGTCACTCTACAGTTTATTTAGTTTTCTGCAGAGTAGGGATGATCCTGTTCTGATTTCTGACTGTTACTGGTGAAACTTAATTAATTTATAATAGCTTTCAAGTCAAAAAGTGAAGAAAGATGCTATAGATATATTTACTTAATGATGTTTAATGATGATACCATTTGTTATAATTTCTTTTTCAGTACCCTGATCGGGGATGGATACAAAAGGATGACGTAGTAAACCAGCTGCTAAGCTTTTGTGTTTGCTTACATTTAGCATTAACCTGTGCTTATTAACGTTAGCAGTCTAATTTAGATAGAATTCTTTAGTTTTGTAATGTATGAAATAATACTCTTTAAAGCCAACCTAAATATGTACAGTGACATCTAACACTGATTTAGGTACGTAAAGGACTTAACCGTACACACCACTTTATTGTCTTAAACATAGCCCTTTCCTCTCTAGATCAGCTATGGAGAAAACATACTTATACCAGTGTTGCTTATTCCCAGACCAGGTAAAAACCAGAGCTCGTTCTGTTACTTCCGTACCGGAACACTGTATGTCCATGTTGGCCGTTGAGCCAGTATAACACTCTGGGTTCAAGCTGTGAAGTCAAGCTGTGGTTTGAGCAGTGGATCTGATGGGGTCAGGTTGCCTTTAGGTGTGCATGTGTGCCTGCTTATCTGTTACTGCTGTCTCCCTCACTTTGTTCCCAGTCACCTCAGATGCCTTCATTTCCTCTAGCTCTCCCATATCCCATCAACTTCTTTTCATATTTTCAGCTCTTCTCCTTTCTCCTCTTAATCAGCTGGGAGAAAGCACATAGTGAGGCTGTCGCAAGGGCTAATTATTCTGCCATTATATGAGTACTTACAGGGCAACTGACAGGTCATGCAGAACAAGTAACTGCCAAGTTGATGCTGCAGTATTTGTCATAGTGAAAATACTGACATGAGCGTCTCTGCTCTTTCCAGCTGCTAATTTTCACTGAAATTGCAGCATTTTAGTATCATGGAGATTTCTTCCCCTGTTGTCAACTTCAGATGAAAAGCCAGCAGCTTCAGAAGTTGTAAGCCAGGTTGGAAGTGAAGGACGGGGGGGGGGGGGTCAGAAGATGGCAACCACCACTTCATAGCACAATCATGGAGTCTCATTTCCTTGGGAAACCAGGATAAAAATAACTATTCAAACTGATAGATTTATTAAAAAAAAAATATGCATAAACCTGCCTAAAATTAGAGTCACCCCTCATCTCTTCCTAGTCAGTGTGTATTCTCTTTATTTAGTACATTTAAATTCATATTTACTCAGCTGCAGGAGGAAGTGAGGGGTCTTTGAGAAGGACACCTGTATCTGCTCATGTGGACTATGCTTCTATGTATTTGAAAGCTGGTCTAGTGGTATTAGCAGCTAAGTAACAGGTATGCTAGAACATTGCTAAGTATTTGGTTTACTAACAAAACCAGATAAAAAACGCTGTGGCAAAAAAAATTGCTAGTAACTTTTGTTATTCTGTGCCTCTGCTCCAAACATGTATATGCAAAGATGACAGAGTAGGTCAGTGGTCCTGGTAATTTGTCTGATGACAAATTCATCAGGGTAAATTAATTAGTTTTTTGTACCATGACAGTCATCCTTGTAATGGGATTTTATAAAATTTGTCACTGAAGAAAAGAATTGAAAAGAAAAAAATTTCCTCATATTGAACTCTTCTGCTAAAACTGTTTTTTTTCTGAAGCAAGCAAAAGTGCGACTGAAAAGCACGTTTATTCTAAATGAACATTGTTCTGACTATGAAGGTCAAAAAAAAAAGTAAAGCAGCAACAGACATAGAACATAGTGCATTAGAGGTGCAAAACTGAGTTTCCATGTGGTACTCTGTCCCAATTCTTTGATAAAGCAGACATCTGAAAGTTTTATCAGTAAAATATACTGAACTGGTTTTGTTTCTGCTGTTTGTCTGCCCTGTCTTTGATAGGATATTCAGGAAATCAGAGATTTTATTGTTTAGAACAAAACTCAGTCTAAAACTGACATAGGATTTATATGCAACTTGGTTGGAATGTTACCTAACATAAAGTCACTGCAAACCCAAAGGCAGAATCGATTTGGGTACTGCAGGTTGCTGATCTGGATGATCTGTTGTCATGGATCCCTTCAAGGTGTTTTAAGTGCCACCTTCTCCTCCAGCTTTAATATGGTTTTGGCATCCTCTGTCTCATTTGATTGACTCTCTTACGTTCTTGCCTTCAGTGTAGGATTTTTATGTTTCCTAAACCTTGTTTGCTGACTATAAGATCAGGAAATCACTCTTGTTTAGGAGTATCCAATTGAACGTAGTAGCTTTGCATGAAAAATAACATTCGTAAATAGAGTGGTAGATTTAGCGTAGTGTAACAGTCTCTCTTGTTCCCTGCTCTGGGGCTCCAGCCTGCCACCCTGGCATGCTGCAAGAATATATTTGCAGAATATAGTGGCAAGTGCTGAAAAAGCACCAGTAAGGGTTGGGCAAACAGTGAACTTACGCTACACAGAATCAAACTAGTTTGAACCTTGAAAGAATGATGAAAAAATTTCAGAGGAGACTTTAGAAAGCCACACCAGACTTTTATCTTATTGGAAGCAGTACTCTGAAAACTGGGTCCATACTGTGATTCCAGAGAGTCAGTACTGGTATTTTGTACAAAAAGTATATCTTTGAGGCTGTTGATCAGCTGATAACTATTCAAAAATATACTATCAATTTCTGTAAAAGTTAGGTTTTACTACACTTGCCTTTGTGTACACAAACACCAACGTGATGTACCAAAAACATGCCCAGTTCTTTTAGCTGGCAGTTTTTTCATGGGCATGCTTTTTCAACATTTAAAAATGTGATTACAACAGCAGGCTGCCCTGCTGATCATAATTCTTTTATTAGAAGAATGTTAATTTCTTACATTATTTGTTAAATCCTCACAACCTTTCCATCACATCAAGCAGAGATAAGAATAATCAACTCATTCAAGACTGTTTTACAGTTCTGCTAAAATTATTTACCGGAAATGCTGCAACCCAGTTCTGTCACTTCAGAATTTCTCATCTGATGTGCAGACAGGTCTTTGTTATATCAACTAACTTGTCACTTCTGAGTGGATACAGCTGCTTCATATCTTCTCATTTGAACTTTAAACAGAGGAGTCTCCTACAGGATCACTTCAAAATTATCTAACTGCTAACTTTTAACAAACCTGTGAAATATTTCTGTCTAATGGTTCAAAGTTGTGGCTCATATTTTGGTTCCTTCTTCACTTTTTATACTTTTCTTTTTTATATGTCTCAGAGAGGACCAAGGGAACAGGAACGTGGATTTAGAAACCCTGATGCTGATCTCATCTATACACAAATAATTCTACAGTAAATTTACATTAGCTTATGGTTTTCTACCACTGTGTAACTGATGTGAGAACAGATTAAACCTCAAGTACAATGAAGAAGAAGGGTAAGAGTGAACTGAGCCCCGCATGTTCCAGAATTGGTTGTATAGGCAACGAGATTAGATGCAGAAAAACCGTAATCGCATTTTTATCAGTGTAATATTTTTAAAACATGAGTCAAAGTGGTGTACCAAAGGCCAAATCTTTATGGGAGAGGTTTCCAGGAGTCTTTCAGAAGAAGACCCACTTGCTTTAAACCTGCTGCTGTCAGCAGCAGCCTTCACAGCCTTTCATGGGCTGTTACTCTGCTGGAAGTGTCCTGGCATCTGAATGGATAGATTTCAGATAATGTGGTCCTGCAGAAACCTGGTAGTTGTGTAAAAGCTATTTTACTAAAGTCTGAGAAGAAGGGTGCAATTTTAGGTTAAATTCAGATCAGAAGGCTTTGAGAGAAAAGACTGCCTTTTATGTTACCCAGCTGAGCTGACCTTGCTTACTTCGTCTTCATTTATTTCACATAGAACGTTCAGGCTTGTTGCTTCTGAATTAACGTTACCTTTCATTTATATCGTCTGAAATTAATCCTATTTAGTTGTTATTGGATAACAACAAAGCTTTAAGAAGAGTGTTTTTCCTTACAGAAAGAGAAGCAAGAGCAACAGTTCAGAACAAGCTGGTGAAACATTCTTTGGGATATCACTAAGGATCTTGATATTTTCCATATAGGCTGTAAGGTCGTCTCTCACTGCTGCAGAAATGGCCTATGATCAGGACTGGACAATGGAGACACTTGTCTAAGCAAAGACTCATTCTGCTAAAATGGAGTCTAATTGTTGTATTGAAATCTTAAAAATAATTACTGTAGAAACAGAGAGGATGTAAGAAACGTCTGCAAATCAAATATGAGTTTGCTACATGAAAAATCATATAAGGCCGCAGCAGTGTAATTTCTGACCACATCATAGCCTTTATTGCTTTTATCACCATCTATTCTTAGCAGTTAATATTATCCCCACTGTAAATATGGAGAACAGAAGAATGAAGAAGTCACATTACTTTCCAGCAGCCACCCATGAATGCTGTGGCAGTACAGAGATGTGCACACACAATTCACAAGAGCCAGGTGGGCACTGCAGCCGTTGCACCTTCCAGCTTCTCTCTGAGAAAAGCAGAGGGGAAAATGTATGTCTCCACATCAGCAGTCTGAAGTGAGAGCAAACAGGCAACATACGTCAGAGTTTTACTTACACGTACCATTCACTAGATACTATTTTGTAGTTGGATTCTTTCTCCTGAGAAAAAAAATCTCACTTGTTGCTGGGCTTTCTGCCCTGGAATACCATTTTTATTTCATTACCAATGGGGCTCCCAATGCCAGCAGACAAGGGATTAGTGCAAGCAGCCGGCAGGCCCCAGGGCTCAGGGTTTCTGAGCTCAAGACAGGCAGCAAGAATCAGCTTGAACAGTGTTTTCATTGACTGAAATGTGTACAAGTGATGAGAGGTATATAAATTATGTTGTGTCCAGTAAGAGAGACAGTTGAGTAACTTAGAAGAAGCAACTACAGAGCTTGAGCAGGAGTATCCGTTGCCACATGCTTTTCTATGGGGAGCTGACATCCCAGCTCGGGGTACGGATTTGAGTAGGTGTAGCTGACTTGCAAGCCTACTCTGAAAAAAATGGCAGAAGAGCTCCTTGTGGGCCACTTTTTGAGATGTGTTTTCAGTCAATATTTCTCCTGATCAAACATCTCATTTTTTTGTCCTTTAGCCAAATATTTCTAATATGTAATTGTCACAGAGCTGAATCCTATCCATGTGTAGAAGTTCAAGGGGGTTTCCATGATTTTTTTTCCCCCTACATGTTTGTACTTATACCCTGGAATTCGTTCAGGTATTTACAGTTTGTGCTGATGGGATTTTCATATGCAAAGTGAGATTAGAAATTCCCATTAGACGTTATACTTGTAGCTGCATTTACATGTTCCTAGCAGAAAAAAAAATATATGTGCAGACAGCGAAAATAAAATTCTTCTGTGCTATAATTTGCACGTTCATTTTCTAACAAGTGCAATATGGGTATCAACAACTTTTTTCCTTCTTTTTTTTACTTAAACAATGCAAATAAGTGGATGCTTTATGAGGAGCAATACTTTTGCATTGGATGTTGAAGTTCAATTGTGTTTTCTCAGCAGAGTTTGGAAGGATAGCTGTAGCCATCTCTGACTTGCTGCAGTAATTGATTCATATCCCTTGTCCATCAAGAGAAAGAGTGGGAAGTGTAGTTACTGAAAAATATTATTGGAGCAGTACATTTAAAGGTCAGGTCAGAGCTGGCATTTGGGTGATCTTTTATTTCTCCAAGCCTGTAATGACAGAATAATTTTCCCTGAACTTCATCCTAAATCTTAGCCCTTCACCATAAATGAAGTGTTGCTGGATATTAGGATTGAGGAGTACCGAGGGACTGACCATTCCATAGACAAGGTGTGTCTGGTGAATCAGTAAGCAAAGACAAACCGGTATGCTACAAGTGCTCTTCCATGAGATTGAAAATATTAAGACTAAAACATGTGAGGTGTGTGGGGAGACTAAATGTGCCACTGTAGGAGTAGAAATGTCGTGATTTACAAACAGTACCACGCTTGTAGGTATTGCATGTGTGCGCCCGTGTATTTAAACATGCACCCACTCACATATTGTTCACATAAAAATACATAAACAGAAGATAAGGGAATCAGACATTCAGAAGTTTGGAAGATGGCTGAACTATGATTGCCCGCTGGGAAACTGTGGTGAAATCATGCAGTGAGGCAATGCCTTTTGACTTCTGACTTTCTACTCTTCCCCAGCTCCACAGTGCTGTGTTGCCAGAGGTCCCACCCAGCATTTCAAAGCTTCTGGAAAACCTTTTCCTTGGGAATATGTTTAAGATTGCAAAGGTTCTTGCACTGGTGCTATCTGCATCTCAGCTGTTCTCTGCAGGCAGCAGTAACCTGAGGAGAGAAGTGGTTTCATTTGATGCTGTTTGGATGAACAGGAGCCTGTCTGGGTGTGATATATTGGGTTATAATAGCTGCAGTACTAGACTTTGTGGTAGGGCTGTCTGGGTGTGCTGTGTTGGATTACGATAGATGGGATATTAGATTTCTCTTCTGGCATTAAACTCTGTCCAATAAATAAACATTTGTGTCTAAGTCACATACTTGTTTGTTCCTTCACCGTATTTATAGGTAAGCTTCAGCTGATGCAAGGTGAACAGAAGGATGTGGTTTGGATCCCACGGTAACACTCAGGTAGATAGTTCTGCCCATGCTGGCTTTCAGCCCTTGGGGAAATCAGGACGGCTTCTACTGGTGCCTTTCATTGGGTAGATGTGGCAGGTACCTAACTTGCGTCAGTGCCTTTTCAATCGCATTTAGTTTGCAAGCAGCTTGAACTGCCTCCTTACTGCCAGTGTGAGGGCTGAGCCACACTCTCCAATCAGTAAGGGATACTTGATGTGATCTCTCATCAAATTTAAAGCGCTGTCCCACAGATTAGGGTTATGAAATGCCGTGTAATAATTATTGATGGTACACAAAGGATTTCTCAATTCTTTTGAAGTTCTCCACTACAAAATGCCTTTAGCAATTACTGTGAAAATCACAAGGTCACATGTTGCTGCTTTCTGTTTGCATATCAGTCAGCCTGAAGGTTTGTGCTTCAATGGAAGTGTGTGTGTATGTGTGGTGTTGCCTAGATGTAATGAAAATTAAGCCTCTTCATCCCTCCCACTTTAAAACCAATATTTTCTTTGAAATTTAAATCTAGGATAAGATGACATAGCAGGGAGGATTTTTTTTCAGAAAAAGCTGTTTCATCCAACCCTTTATCTTGATGATAGACATTGATACAGTGCTGTGCACCTGCATTTTGCTTTATATCATTCACATAAAAACATCTTGTCCCAGCTTCTCACCTTTAAGCATATTGAATTTGTAACTGAAGGGAAAGCATTTTTCCCCAGGCTGGATTAGTAATTTCTAGGCTGATTGAACCCAGGTATCTGGGTACCATATTACTAGAGAGGACTGGATAAAAGTTACTACTGATGGCGCCTTGATTCTTATCTTCTGTATAGTTAATTCTTGTTTGCTGCATCTTGTGAAGAGCAAAGATATTCCAAAGAGACCCTGACCTTTCAGTAAATACAGTTCATAATTTAGATGAAAAACATGTTCACTTAAACTTTGGAGGGTCACAGATTATGAAAAGAAGGGAGCCCTTCACAGGAAGGAGTAAACCTTTTGCAGTTCACTGATTACAGCCTGCTGCACAGTATTCTTCATGGAGCAATAGTTTTTTCCTTTCTCTGTGTTGTTTATTTGTATAGAGATAGCAGGTATGGGATTGAAATTCCATACAGTATGTGTACATGTGCAAATTCAGATGTTTTGTAACAGATAAAGCAAGAGATGACAGGTGGATACAGCTCACGCTCATGAAGAGCAAAAGTAATAGTGATAGGGCTATAAGAGGTCACAGCTGACTGGTGCTTTACATGAAAAAGATGGAGTTTAGGAAGAAAGTTTAGAGAGCTCCTTGCAAGCACAACATGTCAGTATTCTGACATGAACTCCTAATGTTCACATACAGTATGTGTACATGTGCAAATTCAGATGTTTTGTAACAGATAAAGCAAGAGATGACAGGTGGATACAGCTCACGCTCATGAAGAGCAAAAGTAATAGTGATAGGGCTATAAGAGGTCACAGCTGACTGGTGCTTTACATGAAAAAGATGGAGTTTAGGAAGAAAGTTTAGAGAGCTCCTTGCAAGCACAACTCAGTATTCTGACATGAACTCTTAATGTTCATGCAGCAGGGAATAATGTCCAAAGCAGCGTTTGAGTTGTTTATTGTTATTCTGCTCTGCATTCTGACACTTAGTACCAGTCGCCCCTGACTCTTTCTGGTTTTACTGTCGTGATTTTAGACATTTCTGAGTGTAGACAAGCAGAAGACAAAAGGCCATTCTCCATTTTGTTCCTGGTGCTCTTTCACAGTTCACTTCCTCTGGGAATCAGCCAAAAGAGACACTGTGCAGCAGAAGACTCAGTGCAAGACCAGAAACCCAACTGGATTTTGTCCACTAGTTTACTAAGTGTCTCTGGGCATATAACATAACTTTTCAGTTTTAAAATGTGAGCTGTTACCAGTGGATGAGAATTGATTAGATGACTGAAGAAATCATCTGGTTAGGGCATCAAAAGATCCTGCTTTTTAACACTGTGTGACTGTGTCACTTATCCTATCTAGGTAATGAATTTGGTAGACAATTCCTTGTGTGAAGAGCTTTAAGCCTTGTGAGTAAAAAGCACTGTATAGACATCAACCACTGTTACCTGTAATTTCAGATATTTACATTCTCCTGCTTTTTTGTGGCAAATAGTGTGCACTTTTAAGTTTCAGGAAGACGTAGGGTAACATGATCAGTGCTGAATTCACGTGATCACTTGCTGTGCAACTATCTTGGAGAAGGTGTATGCTCTGTTAAAGTTATACCCTTTTCCTCTCCACGCAGCGTCCCATCATCTCTATCTGTTGGGGTCACAGGGATTCACGCCTTCTGATGGCTTCCGGACCTGCATTATACGTTGTCAGAGTTGAGCACAGAGTCTCCAGTCTGCAGCTGCTGTGCCAGCAGACCATTGCTAGCTGTCTGCGGGATGACAAGGATATCAACAAATTGACCCTGCCCCCTCGGCTCTGCTCGTACCTCACCACTGCCTTTATACCAACAATCAAGGTAAAATGAAAGAAACGTGGGTGTGGGGGGGGGAGTGTGGAAGAGGAAAGGGTTGCTCGATTTCCACAGCCCCCCATGGTGCTCCTAAATGACAATGGATAAATGTTAAGATGTCATGTTTATCATAATTATCATTTTAAAAGCTTGATTAAGGGTCATTCCTGTCCTCTTAAAGAGCCCACTGATCCATTTGGTGCCTATTAAAATCTGAAAAAAAGGTTCCCACATTCTGATCTGCATTATTCCACGGGGATGGCCTTTCCAAGGCCATCCTAAAGGTAAAATATTCTGGTGATGGACAAAGGCTTCTGAAGAAGCTCACACTGATGGTAATACTGTGTCACGGTTAGAGGAGAGATTCACAGTGGTAAAACTATTGCCTCCCTTCTTGTTACATGAGTCCTTATATTGCCAGGAAAGTTATACTGAAGACCTGTGGCTGCCCAGGTTTTTCTACTGACAGTGAGTTCTGCTAACCTTACTGCTCCAACAGTGCTATGGAAAAACAAGCCAGATACTACGCTTTTTCCTGTGCCACTAGCAGAGCCATCTGCTCAGACCCTTTGTTTCATGGTTTTGCCCTCAGTCACATCTCAGGATTTCTGAACTCTTTATCACAGCCTATAAACTAGAGCATTAACTGGTAAATGCCCTACATTCAAACATACATTTTTGTGTTACATATTTTGTGCGTGTGTGTGTTACAGCATTTTCTCGAGCCAGTTTTAGGTCCTTGTTAAAACAATGCAGAGCTAGAATAACTAGTTTGAAATCAGTGGAGTTGGCCCAGCTTCAATGAGAACAAATTATGCCTACAAAATAATGCTTCAGCACAGTTCCATTTGGGTACTGCTAATCAGGGCAATTTGTGTGACTGTGCAACATTTTACTTGCTAGAGAAGAATAAATGCCTTGCTGTAACCGTAACTCCTCGATCTTCAATGCAGAGATGCATTGGAGATGCAGAGCATCCAACAGACCAGTCGTTCTCAGTTCTTTCTAGCATGCGTACTTCTCCCCAAGATGCTTTCCATGTTGTTCCAGAGCCACCCCTGCAGCTCTCTAGAGCATCAGTGACGCTTGGCTGTTAGGGAAGAAATGGGAGGGGAGGGAATGGGGTGAAGGCAGCAGCTGGTTGTAGGAAAGCTGGGAGCCATGACGGGGATCAGAGGGGCAGAGACAGTACAGAACGTCATTGCCAGCAATCCTTCTCTCAGTTTCTCGAGGGGATGCCGGGGTGGGGAGCAGTTGCAGGGCTGCCTAGCTGCGTGGCTGAAGCAGGGTTCCCAGAAGCCACATGCCCCTGCTGTTTCTGGAGTCTGGAGTTCTGGTGTTTCTGGAGCCGCCTCAGCACTGCTGTATGCTTTACCCTGGCTCTTCCCCAGCCACCTACTCCCACCTGTGTGGTCAGCCAGGCCTCCAGTGCCTGGCAAGGCACCCTCTTCCCTGCATACATTCCTCTTCCCCCTCCAGCTTGAGGACAACATTGTAGATCACTCAGCCCATATCCATCTTGCCAGGTTAAGGAGGCTCCTTTTTCCCCCTATTTTTTTCCTTGTACTTTCATTTTGAAAGAAACTGTGTTGACTTATACCCATTAGTAGTATTTGTGTCATACAGGCTTATATTGTCCTAGACAAAAGCAGTCCCAACTGTTTTAGGACTGAGCTTTTCATGGATTAATACAACGTGCTGGCAAGCAGGGCAAAGTAACGTATCCTGAGCTTTGTACTCATATTTCTACACATTGCACGTAAATAGGCCCTCAGCAAAGATGGGTCGTGTGCTTGGAAGTGATAGAAGAAGTACAAGCTTCTTCCAGAGCTGACAGCATTGTAGCACAGTGGCATAGCATGTACCAATACTAACCAGGAATGGGAACCTGAGTGGCCAAGTTCACGTGGAGGGCCAGCAAGAGACAAAATACTCTAAGATTTAGACTTGACCACATTACGCAAGTTAAAAGAGAAGTTTTTGATAGAACTGGGACTTGAATACAGGTTTGTTGTCTAATTAAGTGCTCTGATCACAGGTCCAACCTTCCTCTTTGGTGTAACTAGTTTTAGTTTTCTGTTTACAGCTGCTTTTGACCTAAATAAATAACACACAGCCACTCTGTCTTGCATGTGGGTCCTGCATAACTTACACAGTTACCTGTACTAATCTTGACCTGCCATGTTAGAGCTGGGTTCAAATTCAGTTAGTTGTGTTGGGATTAAGTCACCACAGAAAAAAAAATCCAATAACCTATAGGAAACTTTTTCTTTCCTTCCTTCATTTAATTAAGCCTCCTATCCCAGACCCAAACAATATGAGAGATTTTGTCAGCTACCCAACAGCTGGTAATGAACGGCTTCACTGCACGATGAAGCGAACAGAAGATGACCCAGAGGTTGGTGGTCCATGTTACACTCTGTACCTGGAATACCTTGGGGGACTGGTGCCTATCCTGAAAGGACGTCGTATCAGCAAGTTGCGTCCAGAGTTTGTCATCATGGATCCTAAAACAGATGGAAAAGCAGGTAGAATTGAATTGTTGCTCTGTATAAAAACTGATTTAGAAAGATTGTAGATATTATATCCTGAAGAGTTAAACAAAATCTATATATGCAACATGGAAGTTGGCATCTGCTTTTTTTTTCTGATGTGAAAAAAATCTTTAGTCTGACCTAGGCTCAAGCTTCTGAAATTATACCATGCTGTGTTCTGTTTTACAAAAGGGAACTTCTTGTATTTTGAATAGTGGGGAATAGATTGCTAATTAGCAGGAAATACTCTTTAGTCTCAATTTTTAAGTCAGTTGAATACTACTCACCCCTCTGAATCATGTTCACTTGAGTTTGAACCATTGGAAATTCGGAGTTTATACTAGGCAGGGTGAAGAATGGTTAATAATCTCAGCATAGTTTTATCTCCACTGCTGCCTGTGGGTGGGATTTATGCTGATGATGACTGATAGTTGTAATTTATATCAGTTTTCTGAAGCAGTACTTACATTTTCTGGGGCCTGTCTTGATAGATGAAATCTATGGAAACAGCTTGATTTCCACTGTGATTGACAGCTGCAACTGCTCGGACTCCAGTGATATCGAACTGAGTGATGACTGGGCAGCAAAGAAATCTCCCAAAATCAGTCGAGCTAGCAAATCACCCAAACTCCCCAGGTAATCATTTCTTGGATGTTTCTTCTTCTTCTTCCCCAGGTTTTCTTCTTGTCTTTTTTCTTGTCTTTTTTTTTTTTAAACACTGTCTTGACACCTCATAAAACTAAAAGCAGACTCCTTTGGGCAGATAGGATTCTTCTGGAGGAGTGGGGTCCTCTGCAGTGTGCCATTCTGGAGTGATCTGAGACATTGGTGTTGAGGTGGATTTTGGGGAAGGTGCTGGGGCAAAAGGTGATGGGAAACAATAGAGCACCGTTTTTCCCCGAGCAGTCTCAAAGAATGATTTTATAAACTCTCCCGTCACTGCCTCTGCCACATATAAACTCTTGCCACTGTGGAATATATTTTGTCCTTCAGATGATCTGTGTTTTTACCTCCTCTGTGCTTAGGGTCCCTGGTCTAGTTAAAGCCGTTATTTCCTCAGGGGTATTTTCAAGTTCATAAGTCCATGCATAGGTGGCACTGCTGCTGTGGTGACTTTGCAAGGGAGCCTCAACAAACAGATCCCCCTAAACACAGGGTTGACAGGCTTCTGTAACGATATGCAAAATACCCTTCTGATGTATTCATCTCGTTGCTTTCCTGCCAGGTCTTCATTATATTCATTATGTATGTAGACAGAACCCTCCACCTGCACAGAGCCTCACTGGTGTCTGTGATGCCCCTCATAGGCACTAACATCTGTCTGCCAGCTTCATGTTACAGAATTGATGCCCCGATGCCTTCTAGCTCCAGCTGACACTTTTCCAAAGAACTTATATTATGAGCTTGTCCTAGTATGAGGCAAAGAAAACACATGCTTTTATATGTAAACATAATGTGTGAAATACTGAAGTTTTAGTGTAGTAGTACTTGACAAAAGAAGCGTCAGTTCCTGAGCCTAAAACTGAAATGGCTCAGGAAAAACAACTGTCTTGCATCCTTCCTTTTCTAAGAGCGTACTTTTGAAATTTAACTTTTGTTCGTTACTTTTTCTACCAAGAGAGCTTTTTCAGGTGCTTGATCTCTTATTCCTGACCCCCTTCGTATAGTAGGAGGTAGGAATAACTTTTGTCTTAGTGTAAGAGCACTGATGAAGTTTGTGGAGCCTTGGTTTGCTGTACTGATGTGGAGATCTGCCAGCTGTGGTGTCCTGTTTCCATTTCTTGAGGCTTTGCTCAAAGTCTTCATAGGTGAAATAGCTCAGCCCTACAGCTTTTTATGGATTAGTGGAGGATATATTGTATCTGGCAGAACTGCTGTAAGCTTTGTTAAATGAATCAGAAAGCAACCAGTCTGAGTTACTGCGAGTGTGTCAGGCCTTATATATCTTTAAATTTAACCCATAACTCTCCATTCTCTAGACTCTACAGTCTTCATTAGTCACTTAGAGGATACCATACCAGTTGTCTTCATTACATCTTTACATTGAAAGATGTGAATTTTGTGCATTTTTGTATGCCTGTTGATTAATCTAATTATTTCTTTATATGCAGAATCAATATAGAAGCTCGCAAATCTCCAAAGATGTCACGAGCTGCACAGGAGATCTCAAGATCGCCAAGGTTACCAATAAGGAAACCTTCTATTGGTTCGCCAAGCCTAACCCGAAGAGAGTTTCCTTTAGAAGATATTACTCAGGTATTGTGCACATTGATACCAGACCTAAGTCCAGATGCATCTCCTTCCAGAGGCAACAAGTTGTGATATAGATCCAATGATTATGCATAAAAAAATTTATTTTAATTACAGTAACCACATGAAACAAGTAGAGAATTGCATCTTCCAGGTGTGAAAGTGTCAATGGAATATTAGGCGTCGTTTGATAAATCCTGGCACCACTAACTTCTGTCAATGTGAATCCATGTGAGAGGCTTTATTCTAGGTGATGTTGTTGGCTGTTTGAAAGTGTACATGAAAATGCTTCAGCAGTTTCTCAGAGCTGTCTTAATGCCACCAGCATTATGACAGCATAACACTTGGCCTTTGAGAAAATCGCTTGGTCTTTCAAGCCCATAATTTGATCACCATGGAAGCGGTGGTTTGGAGCTGCTTTGGAAGCTCCGGGAAAAATATGCTTGTCTTTATGAGTAATTATTTCTGTCTTATTTATTGTTCTATGAAGTGATTCGTAACCAAAGGGCAGCGTGTACTACTTTCTGAAATACAGAATAGCCATGCTCTTGTTGTGCAGGAGAAGCAAGCATCTGAAAACAGACCCAATTCCCACTATGCAGCCATCATGTTGTTCAGTTCTTCAGCAGCTTTAATCAGCTGCTGGATACATCATTTCTGATGGTGTTCAGATATCAAAATGAGACTTCTTAATGGCTGGGTATAACAGTTGCTACATAGGCACATTAGGCTGTTTCAATAACATAAAAACAAGAGAAGCTGAAATTGTATTATCACTTGCAATAGCTTGATTGCTCTGCAGTTTTTTATTAGAGCTTCAAACAGATTTTATTAGGTGAAAATGATCTTGTTTTTGCTTTGCAGCACAACTACCTTGCTCAGGTCACATCTAATATCTGGGGAACCAAATTTAAAATTGTGGGTTTGGCTGCTTTCCTACCAACTAACCTTGGTGCAGGTAAAAGTAAATTCTATTGATTTTTTTCTATGTCAAACTATTTCTAAAAAACAACAAACTTATGCGATGTGATTCCTTTTAAGTGATCAAAAGTCTTTTTTGACAAAACATTTATTTTCTGTGGACAGTAGGAATTAGATTTTACAAAATTCACTGTAACTAAAAGATATTAAAATCTATAAATACAATAATGAGAAGATCAATAAAATGTCAAAAGTCTCAGTTGTAGTAAAAAGATTAACAGTCAAGCCCAGACCTTTATTTTTCACAGTTTATTTGAACAAAACCCAAATTAATAAAGAAAATTTTTGCAAGAAGACTATAAAAATCACAGGGTTTAAGTTACTGTAATAGAAATATTTTTAAGACTTAGATTTTTATAGTCATTTAGCCACTAATTATACCAAAATAATGCTAAAAAAGTTCTTACAGCATCATGCTCAAGATTCTTCAAGTCAGTGCATAGCTTTATCATATGGTTCTCTTGCTGGAGCATCAGTAAATTGGTAGCCTTCATTAAAAGTAGCAGTTGTCTTGTCTCCTGACCTTTTTCTGGGTAGGTCAATTCTCCCTGTATATTCCTGTTGAAAGGACGAAGGCTAAGTAAAGAGCAGGGCACCGCCTAGCAGAACTGAGCGCTGAACTGAAATATTAACACAAAGTGTAAGAGGTTTTTTACGAGCTCTTTGGAAAACTTATTTTTTTCCTGTGTTGCATTAGATAGTTAGGTAAGGACTACATAATGATGCCCTGGATGCAGAATTAGTTAAATAGATCTCTTTTGTGGTTATATTGATCAGTCTAAGACAAGAAATGGAGTACCAGCTACTGGAGAGAGGACTTTCTCTGGCCCAGCCTCCAGGCAAAGGTTGTCCTCTCAGTATGTTGTCACCCTGGGGACAACCAGCGCTGCTACTACAGGGCAATGGTGCCTTCAACTTAATAAAGTGTTATGGAAACCCTCAGGTTTATTCCAGCCACTTTTTTCTTCCCAAGTAATTTATGACTTTCTGACATCTGCATTTGCAGTGATTGTCAGTGACAGATATGTAGAGAAGGATATAACTGTAGATTAAGTATGTAGAGATACTTCCTTCAGATGTTCTCCCAGTCTCCGATGGTTTGAGTCCCAGGGACTTCCTGAGCCTGGAGGGGTTTCTTTGTATGTAGTAACCCTCAACAGATTTCCTTCCTGAGAGCTTTCCACTTTTCCCCTAAACTCATGTAAGTCAGTAGCATCCTGTGGTGAAGAGTTCCAGAAGTAGAATGGAAAAATTATTTTCCTTCCATAAAAATACATGTGAATACAAGGTGAACTAATTAATTATTTCTACAGATTATTTAACTACAGAGATGCTGCTTCTATTTAAAGAGAAATAGCTGAAAGTAACAATCTCTTTCATCCTGGTTATGCAAAGTGTTACATAGTGATTTGGCTAAGAATGGCCCATATATGCATTTGTTCATTAATACATTAAATAAAAATAGTCATAGCCCTTCTGTCTGCTTTGAATTGATTCTTTCTTAGCTTTAGATGCTCTTTGTGTAACAGATTTATTTATTTATTTATTTATTTTTATACTCTTTCTCCAGTAATATATAAAACCAGTTTGCTGCATCTTCAGCCCAGGCAGATGACAATATATCTCCCAGAAGTGCGAAAGATTTCAATGGACTACATTAACCTGCCTGTCTTTAATCCAAATGTTTTCAGCGAAGACGAAGATGATTTACCAGGTAAGGAGGAGCTGGAGGTCTGCCATGTTATGGGTTAAGCTAGCTGGAGGACGGATCACTTGTGTCACTAACCCCCTCTGGTGAACACAAATCAGAATCCCTTAGTCCGATGGAGTCCTGTAGAACTGAATTAGAATAAGGCTAATATGTATAGTGGACATTGTTTTCTAAAATACGTGGAAAATAATCCACATAGAACTGCTAAGTTTCAAGTTCATTGGAAAATTAATCTTCTATTTAGTTCGCTAAGAATTCTCTGTAGACCGAAGCCTTGCATTCTGCATCTTTGTAGGACAGAATTGTAATGTGTTGGAAGCCCAAATGGGTCGTTCTTGTGACATGATGGCAGCAAAGGACAGTTTGCTGTTAGGAGCTTGTGTTGGAGGGCAGGTTCCCATAAAACTCAGTCACCCTTTCAGAAGTGTTAAATGTCCATTTGGATTTTTATCAATATCAAGTCTTACAGAGAGGCTAAAAGAGTAAAGTAGTCTATAAACAAGGAGGATCAGGAGGAATTTCTCATTTCACTGAGATGTAAGGCAGCAACAGATTCAAGCACTTCAGGGAAGTCTTGGGTGGAGGTGATGTGACTGTGGCAGGTAAGAGGACTGGAAGTACTCAGGACCTCCTCCAATCAAAAAAAAAAAAATCATCATGCCAATAAAATTATCAAATAATAGACAAGAAGATAAATTAATACATTTTCAGAATTTTCACATCAGTGAAGGATTCCTTTTGCCAGGTCACGGGTTTTTGGAACTACAGGTGTGACCATCTTGCCCATACCCTTTTAAGAGGAAGGAGCGTGAGTGCTGCAAAGCAGTTAAAGGCTTGTGCTAGAGTCTATTGAAATAAATGGAAATACTCCCATTATTTCAGACCAAGATTTTGACTGCTGAAAGCACCAAAGCTTGTGTCTGACCCAAGCATCAGAGTAGTCCTCTGGACTTCTAAAGAAATACCTGTGTGCTTAAAATGAAGCTCATTCTTTAGTGATTTGGGGCTTGCCTTGCCTAATTTATGTCTACATAATATTCAGCTGTAGGATCTGAAGAAAATAATAGACACATCAATGATTGTATACATATTATGTATAGGAAGCACTCAACATTTTCTGTTATGAAACATGGTCCAAGCTGACAGAAAATAATACAAAAATAAAATAGGAAAAAAAAAGTTAATATAATCCCTTCCTGAAAATTGTATTAGATCTGCAATACCAATTCCTTTTATATTATTAAAAGAGCTGAAATGGTAGTCAGAATTGCAGGTTGGTGAACACCATATAAATATAGGGAAAACTCTCTACATATTGTTACAGAGTTCTGTTACAGCTCTTTGAGAGAGCTAGTAAAAGAATTGTACTGCCCTGTCTTCCATAACAGCCTTCCTCTTTTTGTCCACTTTTTTCTTTCTAGTTTCTTCTGAAAATTCATTTCTGGCTTAGCAAATGGAGGCTACTTCAAAAACACTTTGGGGGATATCCTTTCTTAAAGCCTGCATATAAAGGAAAAATACTGCAGTGTAAATGATTGCATGATAGATTTAAAAAACAGTAGAAAGCTGCTCTTGGGCAGTGGAATGTTAATAATGAAGTACTCTTGGGACAGGTGCTTTTTAATGTAGTCAGTAAAGATTCGGAAAGGTGAATGGACAGTGAATTGATTTAACTTGCAAATGATGCAAACAAATCAATTGAAAAAACATTGGAAAAATGAAAATAAAACCATTGGATTTAAACACTTTGAGATATTAAGCAACACCATGACAAATGAGATTTTATTTGATAAGGCACTTAATACGCACAACAGCAGCATTCTGGGTTGCTCAAGCCAAGCTAACAATTAAACCTCAAGGTCTGGAGGATAAATTGCTGACCTGCAGGCATTAGGATGAAAGTGTGGCCTGCCACCCAAGCACAGAACCACGCTGCCTTAGGGGCAGTTAAGTTTAGCTATCGGCCTTCTTCTAAAGGACCAAACAGAACTACCATAAAAACTTCCCAGCATAGTCACAAACCTATCTGTACACCTACTGCATTCATGACTGATGCTGATAAAAGCCTAATGCTATGGAAAATGTAATCATAGGTAGATGACTTGCATTTTAATTAGAAATTAATTAGGAACTTGGCAGCAGCTGGAGGAATCCTGACTCATGCATGTCTTGTATGATCTGGTCTTGCAAATCGCAGTTGTCCCCAGAATTTAGCGCACTTAAATGATCCTGGATACTATTTCAGGATCATTCTAGTCTTTTTCCTGCTGTAAACCTACTGATGCAAATTGCTTATTGTTTTCTGTGGGTTTTATACAGGAAAACTAATAAAGAATCTGCAAGATTCTTGTCTTCTTTTTTGTTTATATAGTATTTACTCTTTTCCCTCATTATTATGTTCCTTCTTGTCTTGACTTCTGCACCTGTACTTGGTTCCAGTGTCCTCATTTCCCTGCCTTGCTCCAGCTTTTCAGTGGTAGTTCCTGTTGGAATCACTCTCACCACTTTCTGCAATAGGAATTGCAAGCAATTGGAGCAAGCTCCATGCTCCTGCTCAAAATCACCAGAATTGCTTCTAGCCTCACTGTCCTTTGTTCACCACCCTGTATGGGGAATTTTTCCTATATTCATTTGCTTCTTTTCACTTTTCTGGTTCCAACCTGTCCAAACATTGATGCTGAAGTTGCCCTGATGACAGCACTCACTTCTTGAATCTTTCTGGCTTCAACTATTTCCTCACATCTTTTCCTTGCAAACATTCTTTGAAGAACTTTTGTAAGTTTTACCTGTATTTCATTCCATCGTATTCTGCTTTCTCTGTTTCCTCTTCCTTCTTTTTTGTGTTATTGGTTGCTTTGTCACCCGCTATACTCAAGGGCTAATATTACTTCCCTTTTCCCAACTGTTTTCTGTATTCTCCTGTTTTCCAAAGCTCATTGAGTCTGGGTACATTATACTAGATAGTTATATGGTGCCTTCAGTGCAGGTCTTCCACTTTCTTTTTCTTTTCTTCCATTGTTTTTTTAATTTATTTTTTTTAATTACAATAGTCATCAAACATTTAACTCAAAGCTCTTATAATTGCCATCAGATCAGGGCAGGCTTGAGGAGCATCATTCCATCTTCCTTCTTGAAGCTTGGTCCAACATGGCACAATGACACCTGACTAGCTCTAAAGGGAGTCAGCCCAGGCTAGCGGGGATACTTTTGTGCCTCACCATCAGGTAGCAGCAGCCCTTGAGGAAGTCAGGAAGCCATGTTAGTGGTCCTAGTACTAGGGGTAAAGAGGTGGCAGCAGCCACGGGTCTGTGAGTAGATTTTCTCTTCTACTGTTTGTTGATTTATTTATTACCCCCCCAAAATTCCCTGAAAACTAAAGCAACTCCTGATTCAGCAAAACTTTTCTCAATTTGAGTAGGAGTAGTTAAAATTGGCTGATGAGTGAATAGTAATTCATATACATCAGGTAAATGCTTCACTCTGTGGAAGTCCATGGGAATCATAGCGTAGGCTGAAAGCAAGCTCTGAACTTTACATCCAAAGCATCACTCCCAAGAATTTACTTTAAAGTTGATCAACAGCTGTTACAAATAGATATTGTGCAATGGGAATCAGTGGAGACAGGCTGGCTTACTTGTTCAAAGGTCTGATCCATTGATTTGGGGATCTGACAGCAGTCCATACAAACGTGGCAGTCCTTAAGCAAGTATGTAAAGATAGTAGGTATTTTAAAAAGTCAAAAGTAAAGTGGAAAGACAAAGTGCAAAAGACGTGCAGTGTTTTTTTCTTCCAACTAGCTTTAAAAACAACTTCCCCCAGTTTCTGAATTGTCAACTCTGCCATGAAATTTTCCCATTAAACATTTTTTAGCGACTTGCATGTCTTCCACAAACGCTGAAGAAAACCTGTGAAATGCTGCTTCAGGAAAATTCCTTATTTTAGTGCCTGTTACCCAACCTTCTGCCTGACCGCTGCAGTCAGCAAAGGCTCACGGCCCCTCGCGCCTTTGAGCCAGCAGCCCCACAGCACAGGCCTCGTCACCACTGTCACGTGTGAGGGGTCCCTGGGGCAGAGGAGGCCGGGGAAGTGGGTGACAGTCTGTGTTGTTTGTTGCAGTGCCTGGTGCCCCCGGAGCCCCTGCCAGCAGCCCGCCGTGCACCGTCAACATCCCCATCGCCCCCATCCACAGCTCGGCCCAGGCCATGTCACCCACGCAGAGCATCGGCCTGGTCCAGTCGCTGCTGGCCAATCAGAACGTGCAGCTGGACGTACTGGCCAATCCACCGGCAGAAGCAGGGGGTGAGGGGGCGGGAC